AGCGCTTGAACAAAGAGCAGTGTGTTGAATTCATTACCATGTGGGAGTTGTGTGAGACTAATGCCCTTTAATCATCAGGATGGAGAAAGAAAACCAAAACCTTCCCTTTATAAGTAAATCCTAGGTGCCCCGCTGGGGAAGGTTCCATCACATTTAGAGACTGAAGTGTTCGCGACCCAGCTCGGCCAGGTCAAACAGTGACGGGTGTTTCTGTCACGGAACAGAGCAGATGTACCCAGACTTAAGTGTGGAGCAGAACCACCTGCTGGGCTTGTTCAAACACAGCGCCCCCCTGAAGGCTCCTGATTCAGTAGATCTAGGGTGAAAGCTGAGAATTACATTTCTAACAAGTTCCCAGCCCTGGAGTAGAGTGAGAGACTCTGGACTTCCCAAACCTTGCTACTCAGTGTGTTGAGCCCGGGCCAACAGCATCCATGCCGCCTGGGAGCTGTGAGAAACGAAGACTCTCAGGCTGGCTGAAACAATCTGCATTTTGACACTATCCCTGGTTGAATTGTTTGCACGTTAAAGAGTGAGAAGTGCTGTCAAGATTATTTAATCCAGGGGCCCATGCTCTTGCTGATCCTGTAAACCAGAGGTAGACTACACTGTAGAATTATTTGAAGAGATCTAGAAAGGACCGCTGCCCAGGACATACCCCAGGCCATTAAATCAGAACCACTGCCGGTGGGACTGTGATTTTAGCGTCTCTAGGTGATTTCAGTGTGGCCACGTTTTGAACTTCTGTTTTAAATACAGTCAACCTCCCCAACACATTTAACCCCGGGGGACACTAGAAACACCAGCCAGATTCAGAGGCCCTACCAGGAAAGCCTGCTCACCTCCTCCACCAGTTTTCTTGTGATTGCCTCTAGTTTTCCAGTCACTTGCTTTGAACTTTGAGTCACACCATCTGCCCTCCTCATGTTTGACAATCTGCTCTGGTTTCTCAAACTTTTGTCCAAGTTTACTCTCGGTTCCAATGCAGGTGGAAAGTATAATAGTATCACCTTTAATATTCATGATGAATGTTCATCAAGCTTGAGGCTAGACCACTTCAGAGCCACTTATGGTGCTTCTTAAAAACGCAGACTCCAGGTGCCACCATAGACTGACGAACCAGAAGATTTGGGGTGTGTTCAGGAACCTGCTTAATTTCATACACAACCCCAGTGGTAAGATGCACATAACAGGGTACTAATGACCCAGACCTTCTGGTATACCTTCATCCCTTCAGCTTTATTGAACTTGTAGTAAACTTGGTATCTAGGAAATGTTCTGCTTAAGTACATGAATTAAGAACTGCACATTAGTGAGTGTGTTCTCAGCTCCCTCAGAAGAGACTAGACAGGGTTATCTGTGCTGCTCAGGCAAAAGCCAAGGCCTGAGTCAATCTGACACCATCTTCCCTGCCACTCAGTCTCTGTAGCAGATTTTCTGGGTGCTACCTCAGACTCCATTTCCCTGCTGTATTTGTTGTTACCGGTGAAAGTCAGGTTCACAGGGTTAAAACGCCTACATTCTGTTGCCTCTTGCAGCTTTGTTTTCTTTTTAATGGTTTTCTTGTTTCCCCAATAATATTGCAAGTTTCTGGTTACAAGTTTTCTATGTTCTGGCATCAATTTATGTTCTCTTCTTGGGGCAAGAGGTTGTTTTTCTTCCGAGGCATAGAGTAAGCTCATCTTGGCAGTGATTTTCCAGTATGGAGGAATGAAACAAGCCACAAAGTTTGTCTCATTGGGCTCGACAAACATCGTAGGAGACTATTATCATAGGCCTGAAGGTCTATAAACAGTTTCAAAACAAGCAAAGTAACAAATAGCAGCATCCAATCAGCTTTCTCTGTTAGGTACAGGACGGCTCACAGGAGCAACCTCCCAGTGAGTCCTGCATGTTATCTGCTGTAGTTAAAATCTTGATTCTATCTTTGTGAGTGAACCTCTCACGTGAGACTCAGGAGTAGTTTCTTCCAGACTTGTTCCTGTTCCCAAATAGATAAACAACAAGGATGTACTGTATAGCACAGGGAACTATATTCAATATCTTGGAATAACTTATAATGGAAAAGAATCTGAAAAAAGAATCTATACAAAGAATCACTTTGCTGTGTACCAGAAGCTAACACAACATTGCAAATCAACTATAATTCAATAAAAATTAAAAAAAATATTAAGGAACCAGTTCTGGTGTTCTTGGAAGGTAAATTCATGTCTGAAGCAATTAGCTTAAAAAAGTCTTTAATTCTCTTAGATTATTTAGAAAAGAATAACATTAGAAGATTGAGTTAGGCTGAAAATGCCTTTTGAGAGTTCTTTTTTTTAATCAAATGTTATACATCTACTGTACTACAGATGAAAACTGAAATTTGATTCATGTAAAAAATAAATTGGCATCTGTAAAAAAAAGTATGTAGACACTGAGAGGAAATACATCAAAATTCTAATGATGGTTACCTTTGGGGGGGTGAGAATTATGGGTGATTGCTAAGTTTTACTTTATGTTTTTATGTATTTCTAGTTGCCTGCAATGAACGTTTACATTGTACTGCTTGTAAAATTGGAAAGAAAACAATAAATGTCATTAAAAATGGAAAAAAAAAGAAAAGAATTTAGGTCTACATGTTTCTTTTTCAAACTGAAACAATGATTTGAAAGAATTTCTAGATTTGAAAATACAATCAAAGTGAGAAGCAAGCATAAAGTTCTATAAAAACATCAGGCTGGTGCTAGGAGAGTGAGCTGTGAACTGGAGGATGGAATCCAGCCATTGGAACAATCTCGGGAAAGCTGGCTCCATTTCCCTCGTGCCACATGCTGGCATCAGCTTCTGTGTAAGCGGCAGCTGAAGCATTTACTCCAATTACTATTTGAAAACAGCCTTGCTGACAAACAGGAAGAGTCCAGGCTGTCTTTATCCAACTTTGCCATTTGTTTCCCATAGACCAATTAGGTTTGGCTGGAGACCCACTTAAATAGTGATATGATTTTCTGTTGAAGATTAAATTGGTCAGAGAGCCTCTCTTATTGGGGAGTAGATGACAGTGCAAAAAAGCTTTGAGTTTTATCAGAGCTGACCCCTGATACAACTATGACAGAGGATAAGTTTCTCTTTGTTGACTTCCTGGCAACACCACAGCTTTCCTAAGTGAAAATAAACCTGCAGATCTCCAAAGCTGGCACTAAAATGGAAACATACTGGTGGGAAGGGGTTGTAGATCTTTGACTCTGAAACTTTCCCAGCCTTACCTTTGTGAATTCTCACTGTTAGTGTTTCTAATCTCCTCCCATTGGGGAGTATACAGTACTTTTTTTTAATGCTCTGGCAAAAAACAGGTAAGTGAAACAAAATGGAAGTACCATGAAAGTACAACTAAGGTAAGGCCAAAGCCTTCAAACAACACATCACATCAAAACTAGAAGATAAAAAAAGGGTAACGTCATAAATCTAGGTAATTCCAACTAACATTGTAAAAGTACCCAAAAAAGTACCATGACTTGTGGTTTACTCCAGAGGACTCCAAAAAACTTCTTCTTTTGTAACTATTGATATGTGCCATGTAGTTGAAACATTATATAGTGGAATAGACATAGATTTTGGAGTCAGGCAGATTTGGGTTGGAATACTGGCTCTGGTTACCTAACCTCAAATGATGTAGTTAATTTCATTGAGCTACCATGTTCTCAGCCTTAAATAGTCACGATAACAGTGTGTACTATGTTTTAGTTGTGGTTGATGATAATCCTATTTGCCAAGCATTTCACTTGGCATTCTATTCCATACCCAGTGTTATCCATCTTTGGAGATTTTGCAGCCAGAGCAAAAAAATAGCCTATGGTACAAGTAGATAAATTTGTAAGAGAAGTTGGGGCTTCTAACAAATATAAAAGTGCTAAAATATGGAATCAGGACCTACTCAAGAACATTCCACATCTCCATTAAACTTCCCAGTTAACATCTTCCCAGTGCTATTTTGAGATTATTATGGACCAGTTACTTCTACGTGCCTTACATTTTCACCTTTTCACATGGGAGGCTTTACTGCAGTTACTCTCTCTTTGTCCCACAGTTGAATATTGTGTGTGTAAGGAAAGATAATATCTTTTTGTTCACAAGAGGAGCAATGCCCAGGCCTATGGTTAGAAAACTGTGCATCACCTAGACATCCTGGACTTTAAGCTAGCAGTGTTGGCTGAATGGGACTTTCAGGTTGTTTCCTTAGGGAAAGAGGTGTGTTTTGCATGTGGTAGGGGAACCAATTATTTAGTAGCTGAATAACACACAGCTGATTGTACTTCTATTGGCCATATACTCCATTTACCCCTCTCTTTCCTTACCTGCAGGAGGGTTATGCTTCTCCTACCTACAGAAATTAGGAGTGACTATCTGACTTACTTGTCCAACAAATGAGGGCAGAAGTATTTTGTCATGTATGAGCAGAAGTTTAAGAGCCAACATATTTTTTCTGTGTCTCTTTCTCCTCTGCAGTTTTCCATTCAGAAGTGTTTTTTCTGCCTACATCCTAGAACACTCATTTTAGATTCCAGGACAACAACAAAAAATGTGGAGTAGAGCTACAGCTGATCTGCATTAGATCTAGAGCAGAATAAAGAATAAATATTTGTTGTTGTGTGTCACTCAGTGTTGGGTCTTTCCTATCTCATGTTACGGAACTCAGGTTCAACTGCTTGCCACTCAGAAGCCAATAATCAATAGCAAGTGTTGGTAGAAAGGAAAGATGCTTTATTCAGAAAAGCTGGCAATCTGGCAATCTGGGGAGAAGGTAGACTCATGTCTAGAGACCAACTCTGAAGATTCTGCTCAGCCATGACAATTTTTAAAGGAGAAATGCGGAAACAATCCCAGTTAATCATTAAGGTAGGAGGTCAGATTCTTTATCATTTTTCCATCGTGTGCAGAACCACTGACTTCTCCTGATCTTCTTTTGAATGTCTTGCCTGAATCATCCACCTGCAAATTTGCTAAGGGGGAACTGGGGGTAGAGAGTCAGTCATTCTTTAACTACTTAATTCTTCATTCTTACTCCTTTTAATCCAGGAAAGGAATCAACAGATTAGGCAAAGCATTGTGTACATTCAGTAAAGCAAATTCAGGAGTTAGGTTAAATGTTCCTTAGTGATTTCATTTTTATGATTAAGGTTTAAAAGGAACAGAAATAAACAAACACAAAAGAGACAAAGAACTGCTTACAAATCCCCACTTGTCAGACATCATTCCATTTCTATGAGATTAGGTCCATCTCTTGTAACTTCTTCATTCTGACATAGGTTGCAATATTCTTAGAGTAGAAGATGTTGACATGGATCTGTAGCATCTCTGTTGACAATTTTAGTTGCCCACTTACACACATGAGCAGAGCAAACTATAGGACATTAATGTAATGCCCACAAAGATATAGATTGTTATGAACAATAATGCTAATCTCATTCTTTCATCAGACACTGAGTCAGTGACTCTATTGTCTTAATCATTAACTGCTCGAGCCTGTTCTTTTGCGACTCTGGGAGGCCTGAGAAATTTTGGCTTTTCTACAAACAAGAGGCAGGAGATGTGGAGGTGACTTTGTGCTTGGGGAGCCCTGCAGTGTTCTCCTTGGTTTCACTCAGTGTCACCTAGATTAGGCTGATTGATACAGTAGTTGAAGCTATTATGAATATCAAATAAGAGAGCAATGTTTACCAGTTTCTAGACCAGTGTCTGACATACAATGGGGGTTCAACAATTTGTGTTACAATAAAGTGGTGGGTATAACCTTTAGCCTACATAATAGGGAATATATACCTAATTATTTGAATCCCTCAAAGTCCATCCTCAAAGAGGCTCAGTCTGCTCTGTTGCATCCTTGGTCATTAATACTAGGGACAATCTCAGTCTTCCATAATGCTTGCCTTCCTTTCCATAGGAAAGGAAATCTTCAAATAAATGATAAAAATATGATAATGAGGTGTAGTAATTTTAATTTACCATTTTAATATATCAAAGACATGCATAAGATATATACCATATAATGGATTCTATATGTAACAATTTTTTATAGCCTATTTTTGCCTGGAACATGCCTATCTTTCTTTGAATCTTGGGAAGTAATATGAACATAACTAAGGAATTAGCTGAGAAGGAATGATACCTTACATGGACACTTTTATAGGCATAAGAATTTTTGTAGCCTTAGTCAAATCAAATAACCTCTGCATGCCTCGTTTTCTCCATATATAAAATGAAAATGAAAATATGTTCTTTAGAGAAATGTGAGGGTAGTACAGTCAAAAGGTCTAGGAGAACACTTAGCATATAGTTGACACTCAATACAACCACAAATATTTAAAATCCAAATAAATGAATCTGTAATGGTGAAATGGTAGGTAGTGGTTTGGCTTTGGTTGTTGTATAGTTTTGTGGGGTTTTTTTTCTTCCCTTACTTCTTTTTGTACGCGGGTCTCTCACTGCTGCGGCCCCTCCCGCTGCGGAGCACAGGCCCCAGACGTGCAGGCCTAGTGACCATGGCTCACGGGCCCAGCTGCTCCGCGGCATGCCGGATCCTCCCGGACCGGGGCACGAACCCGCGTCTCCTGCATCGGCAGACGGACTCTCAACCACTGTGCCACCAGGGAAGTCCTATTGTGTAGGTTTTGAAGGTGCTATCTTAAACTCAAACTATTACTCGTTTTTGCCTGCTCTTAAGGCCAGCCTTTCTAGGTATAACAACATATTTTCTCTTATGACAGAATGTCCTGGATTTCTCCAACGAAAATTACCAACTCTTGGAAAATTAGAACTTGTAAATGATTGGACAATGATAAGAAGCCCTGATGTGTGATATATTTCAATTTCATAAAAATTGCTTTCCCTCTATCCCCTGAGCCTTTGAAGCAAGAGCATTTGGACAACTTCCCTGAATTATATCCCTTTTGGTATAGTTTAAATCATCATCAGTCACAGAGGTAGAGACCATGACTTATAGGATTAAGACACGGGTTAATAATGTCCTAGCCTTGGGATTTCAGATTCTTGCCTTTCTCAAGCCCTGTGACCCTGCATATGTCACTTGACCTCCATCTACTTATATTTCCTTTGCTAAAAAATCATATTTTCTTCCTCTTGTATTTGTTGTTTGAGAAAATGTAGAAAAATGGTGTAAAGCCTTTTGTAAGTAATAACATTCTTAAATATATTAAATAATACTTTTCAGAAATAAAGATGACTGGCTTTCTAAATAGATGTTAGGTACACAGACATGGTTGTAAGATGTCCATTTTAATGCCAGTTTTGTTGAACTTCATATACTCAATTTTCTTTTCACTAGTTCAGTTTTATTATTGGATTATTATTTAATTATATTTTATGGTCTTCCTCTGGGATAAAATCACATTCACCTTTGGAGTTTCATTTGAAAACTCTTGTTCAATTTAAATCTGTATATTTCCTACTGCACAAAATCTACCCTCATAGTTTCCTAACATCCTTGTGTTTTACAAGTAGGGTTTCATCCACAGTGAAATTTTTATCTTTCTGTTTAATTTGGAATTCTTGTGCCATTGAAGAATGAATTATGATTTTCAGTGTTTTACTGGGAAGGACCAAGGGTGTCTAGTTAAATTAAATGAACATTATAAAAGTGATATGGTGTAATGATGATGATGATGATAGCTAATAATTATTGACTACAAACTACATATCAGCAGTGAACTGATTATAAGTTTAAACATTTTATCTTATTTATTTTCAACAAAAGCCTTCTAAGTTAGATACTGTTGCTATCCAAATTTTATTGATGAGGAAACTGAAGTTTAGAGCATTATGTGTAATAGTCGCAGATCTAAAAATTGGAGAAATCAGGCTCTTTAGCAAATAAATAGATTAAAAATGTCCACAAGCCTACCTTGTTTTTTTGCATAAAATGTTTCAAACCAAATAACCATTTAAAAAAAAATATTTTGCTTTGATTCTTTGAAGTCCTAAAAGGGTCAGTTTGAGGAATGGATGAGTTGACCTATCTTGGTAGTCTATTGTGGTTAGGAATAATAAACAAGGAGAAATGGAGGCAATTGAATTACAATAGCTTGAAATAATCAGGCTCTTCAGGCTGGAAGGAAGGTCATTGTGTTTACCAAAGTGAGCTCTTGCCCTAGTCCTAGCCTCTCCCTAGCTGTTTAATGGTGGCCTCTTGCCTTTTGCAACTATAGCCCCTTTTCTCCCTGGGATCCATTAAAATTTGGTTCTCTCATTTACTCAACTCTACTTACTAGCAGGCTTGGACATGGCCTTTGCCCCCAACATACTCAAGGGTGGTATTATGTTTATTGGGCATTATTGTTATTTGCTTACAGTCCCTATAGAGTTGTAGTTATCTACTAATCCCTTGTGAACAGGTCTATTGGGTAATTTTTTTTTCAATACCTATAATGGCTGTAATATCTAGGGTAGGTACCAACTGTGTATCATGCTGAGGTTTGCATTCCATAGTTCCTGTGAACCCCATTTGCCCAAGTCGGGCATTTTTCTACATACTGCTATTTCATCTCACATTGTTTTTCAAATGTTTTTACCCTCTCTACCCGCACTTTCCAATCCTTGGCCCCAGGGCAGAACTTCCTTGACGGAGCTGGATCTGTGATTGCTCTTTACACCCTGGTAAGCAGGGTGTCTGGAGTGTGACCATAGTGATCGCCAGATGTTCCAGCTGACCTTCTGCTCCTTCCTGTTTTCTCACCTTCTAGTGTGAAGCACTAGAAGAAAAGACCACAAAGTTATCTAGTAGCATTACTGGGCCTGTAGCAGAAAAGAAAATCACCATTTAAAATAGTGAAAACAATTAACTACCGACGTTTTCATAGTCAAAGGAAGCTCCAGAATTTACATCTGGAAGAAATTTACTCTTTTATTGAGGAAAATATTTATTAAGTGTTTTGGTCAAGGAAAACAAACAGAGCTGAACTGCTCTCCACAATAAAATAAAGAGCAGGGACTTCCCTTGTGGTCCAAGAATCCACCTGCCAATGCAGGGGATATGGGTTTGAGCCCTGGTCTGGGAAGATCTTACATGCCATGGGACAACTAAGCCCATGCACCACAACTACTAAGCTTGCGCTCTAGAGCCCGCAAGCCACAACTACTGAGCCCATGTACCACAACTACTGATGCGCACGTGACTAAAGCCCATGCTCCACAACAAGAGAAGCCACTGCAATGAGAAGCCCATGCATCACAACGAAGAGTAGCCCCTGCTTGCCACAACTAGAGAAAGCCCACATGCAGCAATGAAGACCCAATGCATTCAATAAATAAATAAATAACTTTATTTAATAAATAAATAAATAAAATAAAATAAAGAAAATGATGTTTGGTGTTTTGAGGACAGATCAGAAAGATCTCCCTTAAGAGGAACTTAAGTCAACAAAAAGCAAAACTATGAAGGAGTTCTCATGGTTTTTGAGGAAGGGAGTGCCAGAAAGGCAATGTATTAGAAAAGTGACAGGGTGAGGTTGACAGAATTTAAGACTAATGATGTCACATATGCAACTACCTTATTCTGTAATTTCCCTTCATTTTCTTCTCAAGTATCCAGCAAAGATCTATTAATCAGTATTAGAAATAACAAAAAGACTTTGTTTTGGGAGAAACAGAACAATGAGTCCTACATCCTGGAGATGTGGTAAGAAGATGTAAAGAAGTGAATGAAAAGATTATAGATGGTGGAGAAAACAGTAGCTGCTGGAGCTCAGAGTATGAGTGGACAAATGACAACCAGGATGAGTAAGATCTGCTGGGAATAATGAGAAAATCTGGGAGAAGACTCAGTTTCCTTGTTGGGCCAGTTATTAGGGGATTGGACTCATTTATTTTCTTTAAATATTAAAGAAAATCGTGTTCTCAGAAGGCTGAAGGACTTGAGGTCCCTTGGCTTCATAGATCACAGAATCTGATAGAGAATGGAAAGAAAAATGGATTCAGATAGCATTTGGATAAATACATAGAGTAGATTCATTCAAAGAATGTCAATCAGAAGTTAGTAAATGTTATTAAAAGTTATGAAAGTATATTAATGGAAATTAATGAGGTTTTAA